GCAAGCTGTTATATATAATACAGAAACTGTTAATATTATGCACCTGCAAGGTTTTACTGAAAAAATAAAGAAGGCTGCTTGAGCTATTTGCGTGAGAAGCAGGGGAAGCAAAGGAGTAAGAAATGTAAAGTCTAGGCACAAAAAAAGTGATTCATATGCCCTATCAGGTATTCCCCATTGCTGATGTCCATTCTACATCATGCAAGATTTTAAAATTTGTGCATCACATCACCAACAACAAAGAAATGGGAATTGGACTGACTTGCATTTAGTTGATGATGCAAGTGGAATGTAGCATTCAATTTGCTCTCTGCCTCTCCCTCCCTCTTCTCCAAGACATTAGATTAAGATTGCAAACAGAAGCAGAAATGCTTGACAATAAGCTAATTAGTTACGACTGAAAACATAATAAGTAGGAGGGAGTCATGTTGACCATTTCTACTCATTACAACAGTTTAAGATTAGGAAGTCTTTGGGCTCAAATACAGCTGGACACTGTTTCTACTTTACAAAGTGTTATTGTCTATTTACATTATCTGGGATTTATGTTCACTGAATAGTTCTATAAAAGTTTTGGGTTCAAACAAACTAAAAGATTCAAAAGCTAAACTCAGGCAAACCTCAATCAAGCTTTCAGCTGAACTAAATCGCCAACTATTCACAAACCTGGCCCAAGTTCCAGTGCTGTAACAAAACCAATAGTCCAAATTGTGTTATGGAAATTATACAGTGGTCCACCTAGAGCCTTGAACCCCACCATACAAAATCTGCAGTTATCACCTTTAAGTGCCACTGCATAGTTTGCAAACGTGTGACAGTCAACAACTATGGAAGCAGCATGTTCTCTCTCTGAAGGTGCTGCACTTCCCCAGTGAAAGGTTTACATCAGAATGTTCATAGTAATGCTAAAAACAGCCAGCTTCACCTTTTTCTTTCCAGTTTTCCTTTGAAAACCCACTAAAAAGTTTTAAAAGGAAAGACAAGAAATTAACTGTTAAAATAAACCCATGTCAGAAACACAGCTAAAAATGGCTGAGAGATTATTTGAGTCTTCAAGTTCAGACCTGCTTAATACTTAACACCCTGGATTTGCCTTTACAAAAAAAAGTTTTTAAAATGTACTTCTGAAAACAGGTGGTTATATCAAGTCTTTCACAAAATTATCTCTGAAATGAAAGAAAAAGGCTATATAGTTTCATAAACATGTTGTCCCCCAGCAACAGCTCCCAGTTAGATTTTTACCCATCCAATAACTAACAGGAAAACTGCATGCTGGAAATACCTCATGGAGACCCTGAATAAACAGAGCTGATAAAATGACTTCAGTACAATAGGCAAGGAATTCTTAGGATGTTATCTTTTATTGGACCAACTGGGTAGTTGGGATAGAGTTAGACAAGCTCTTAAATGCAAGACCTGATGAAGAATGTCCTGCATTCAAAAGCTTGTCTAACTCTATCCCAGCTACCCAGTAGGTCCAATAAAAGATAATCACCCTAAGAAATCCTTGCCTCTTGCATCACTTGTGGGCCATCATTGCTACAACCTCACTCTTGCACTTTAGTACAACAGAAATTTTAGAAAAATTTGTCTTTGGTTATATATATCCAAATACAAAGAAATAGGAATTTTTCCAATCACACCTGGTAGGATTTGTGGGCTCCCCAGCATTCCTATTAAATTTCAGGAGAGGAAACAAGCAGTTTGTATTGTAAACTAAGACTATCTGGCTCCTTCTAATTTGATTTTCCTGTATGTGTTACATGGACTGGAGTCATATGTCTATGTAACATCTGATTCTGAATGTACTTAGCTGCATCAGTCTCATCTAATTTTCTATTGAATTCCTTTTGCCAGAATTAGAAATGCCCTCTTATGTCTATTTTTAAGTGCACACTACTTGGAGATGAAACGCTGAACAGTAAACAAGATATAGTTTTTGAGTGGAAAAACCTCAAAAAGATCTAATGATTCAGCTAAGGGAGGGAATCTGATGAAATGGAAGGCTTGGGAAACAGAAGGGGAAAAGATACAATCAAAAGTCCATAGTCCTGGAGGGAAGGGATTCCCTGATCTGATGTTTCACTTAATCTTTCACCTAAGAGCAACATGCACTGATGCTTTAAATAAAACTGGATTAATTTATTGTAAAAATTTCACCTATGTTCTTATCGATTATACAGTTGATCCAAATCCTCTGAATTTATTTATTTTTAATTTTAAAAAATGGACAACATTCTCCTGAATCACGTTCCTCGTTCTTTGACCATTGCTACAAAAATCTGACCACATCCTGCCTAGGTTCAAAACCAATCAGCAACACCTTTAAATACTGTTGATACAGCAGACTGCACTTTGCTTCAGTTCAGACATGAAGGCAACTGATAGCCAAACAACTCTGTATTCTTCCATTTTAAACTACTGCAAGGAAAGACATCCAATATGCTATCCATCTGACTACCTGAAGCAAACTAAAATGCCTAGAGTTTGGTAGATAAATCACTTTTCTTCTGCACTCTCTCAGCTGCCTGCCACTGTGGGATCTCCTTGTACTAGAGAGATTAAACTTCTTAAAGATAAAGATGGAAGACAAAACCTGCAGATACAGCAATTTAGATACATCCATTAAGTCTCTTAGCTCAGCTCATTAGTTTGCTTCTGTCATACTCGCTTCATTTTTGTAGTTTCATCTGATAGATGACAGCAAAGTCTTTAAGTTGGTTTGGAATAAACATGTATTGCTCGACACTAGGCACATCTGCATGTGTCGTTACTGTGCCCAGAAGCAATTAACTCTGGAGCAATAAGCTGCAGTTTATTCATGCATAGCTCATGGAGTTAGGTTGGAGCAGCCCCAGCTGGCAAGGAGCCCTGGGGGTCAGCCTGCCAACCCAGGGCTGCTCCCCCGGCTCAATGTGCTAGAGTTTGTGCTAGCCAGCAGGCAGCCCCAACACTGAAGCACCCTCATGCCCCAGCCAGCCCCTCCTGTGTCTACACATGCGCTGCTGAAGAGTTTTTTTACTCTGCAGCAGGACAGTACTTGTAAATAATCAGTACTTACAAGTACTATCCTACTGCAGAGTAAATTAGTTTACTCCAACCTAATAGAGGCACACGCGTAGAAGAATATTAAAAGCTAGACAATAGGATTACTAGTTACTTTTCAACTGTGGTTATGTTTCCCAGATGCACCACATAGCTATCATGGATTATTAATTATTCTGACCTCTTAAAAGGAGACAGGGTACAACAGAATGTAATAATATCTGGGAAGCTGAGAGGAGTCAAAGGATATCAAGATAGAGCCTGCAAACATTTTGTTACGTTTTTCAATTTCCAAACCAACCTCCACAAAGGCCAAGTTCATACTTTGTATCAGGGCTGTCCAAATTCTAGACAACTGGGCCTGGATTACTGTAAAAGCAGCATCTTATGCAGAGGCTGTACTGAGTCAGGCTGGCCCAAAAGGGCAACCACAAGGGAAAGGGTGGTGAGGGATGTTCCCCTTTCTGCAATGTGCTGTGCTCAGGGACAGACTACATTTCCCAAACCCCCACCCTCCAAGGAACATTGCCTGGGGCCCCTGCTCAACTTACCCAGGGATGTGCCATAAGCAAGCACTGATGCCCCTCATTTCCCCTAGCCCAGTGCCTGCAAAGCCACATCATGCCTGTCCCATAGTCTTACTCACGCAACTGCTCCAGATTCCATTCTTAAGTATCCTTATAATCGAGCACCCTGCATACTAACAGTCCAATACCTTCCTGCCTCCCCCCACCGCCATCCCCCCTATGCCTCCCATCCACAGTTGGCATCCTAGACCTTGAGTGACCCTAGGCAACTTCATGCTTCTTCACCGCACTCCCCACCTCCACAGACAGTCCCACAGCTCACCTATCCCTGGACCCTTCCCTGAAGGTCCTTCATGGCCTGCACCCTGCCTTTCCCCACCATTAATGCATGACCCCACAGCCTGCTTCCCTCATTCCCCTGCCAAACATACTGTAAAGTACATACATTAAACTAACTTTGAGCACACTGGCTCCAACACAAGCAGCCGCACAACCACATAAATGTGCTGCTACATTCAGGCAAATTAAGTCTGCATCCAGTTCAAGGTGTTTTAGGGAAGAGACAGCCACTGACTTACCTTGCAGAAACCTCAACGTTATTTTTGTCAACACTTTTAACATTTGCAATAAAAAGGGCAAATTCAGTCAAATGTAATATATTTATCTATGGACTGACCCTTTTAAAAAAGAGAAACAGCATGGGCTTTACACAGAAGGAACCGATTCAACAGGTGTTTTGCCTCAATAAGGAAACACAATAAAGCCTAAAAATCAGCTCTACAGAATTCAGTGGAGCTACCAGGCATCAGCACGTTTCTTCCCTCACCCCAAACCACTCAAATCTCTCATACCAGACTTTCAATGCAATATTTCACTGTACCTGTGCAATAATTACTGCAAAATTTAATCCTAGAGTTTTCTTTCTTTGCTAAGAATGGAAATGTAATTCTCTCTACAGGTGCTCAATCAGAAATGTTCTACACAGGAAAATTTTAGTTGTATTATAATGATTTCACGTGGTAGTGTTAGAGACATGTTGGAGCCATGATTGTTCAGGAATTGTGCAAGAGGCAAGGATTTCTTCGGGTGATATCTTTTCTTGGACTAACTGCAGTTAGGATAGGGTTTGACAAGCTTTCAAATGCAAAATATTCCTCTTCAATGCAAAACTTTCATTTATCATTTTACATGCATATTTGGAATAAAAATGTTAGCTCATTAGGCATCTTATCCTGCTTCCATGTAAGTCAATAGAAGCAAACTAAGACTGATTCTCCTATCTGCTAAGGCCACCTTACATGGCTGTCACAGGGTAAGGGGGCCTTCAAGCATATCAATTGTCAAATGAGAATAAGGTCAATGATGTCAATGAAAACAGGATCAGTTTCAAGCAGCCCTGATACTAAAATAAAAATACAGCAAACTCACCTTGGTCTCCCAGGAGAAAGGGGCTGAATGTTCATCTTGCCAAGTTATGTCCTGAAATGAAAGGAAAGAAAAAAATAAAATAAAATGCAGGCATATTATATTAGACAATTGTAGAGGTAAAGCTGTATGATTTTACTGACCTTTCCACATCCAAAAATATAATATAAACAGCCACAATATGGGAGGGGTAAGACTTTGAATGAGATGAAGACCAAACAGTTTCACAAGCAATCGCTGCCACTGACAGACTCAAAAGTGCTTTTTGAGAACATAAATTATCTGGGGGCTGGGACTATCATTTATTTTGTTTTTGTACATGGCCTTGTAAAATTAAACCTTAGCCAGGTCTGGGCCTCTAGACACATTTGGTACCATACTGAAAAATATACCCTATTTCTGACTGTCACCAAGTATTTTCTTTGCAAGATACCAACTTTACACACATTAAATTCATACACTTACTTTAATGACCAAACTAAAATAAATATCCTGTGTACCTTAAGGAATTGTTAAAAGGCAATTACATTGTGAAAAATGACACCACCACAACCGCATTGCAAGGTTCCACTGCTTCAGGAACGCCATTTCAACGTTGCAAAAAAAAAAAAAAAATACATCCCCCTCACCCCAGTCAGTCCTGCAGACTCAATCTGGGTTCTTTCTGGTTCACGTGTCAATACCAGTAATATATATTTTTCTTTTGAAAACTGGTTAACAAATTGTGGTGTTGTGCATGAAATGACATCTATTTTCCTTTCACAGAGCCATGTTGAATCTACAGCACTGATATTTATTCAATACAAATAGCAGAGATCACCAGGGATCGATCCTGGTTTTCTCTGTTTAAATATCACAAATTCTCCGATTAAAAAACTCCAAATCTGTAATTAAAATGAAATGCCACCACACACACACACCTAGGTATCAATTAAACACAATATTTTATTGATATATTTACAATTTTAAAGCAATTTGGAAGCCTACCAGTGCCTCAATCACTATAAAATAAATTCTGAACACCTATACATTTTGGTATTTGATTTTAGGTTTTTTATCATGAAAAAAATCACAGCTCCCTTCACTTGCCAGGGCATAGGTCCAGGCCCCTCGCTCCCCAGCCACAGCCTCCCAGTCCCGCTGGTGCCCCTCACTTCCTACCCACAGCCCCAGCCAATTTTTTTGACCGGAAGTCACGATTCAGGCACTCATCTCTCTTAAAATGTAAGCCAACTGCTAAACCCTCAGCTCTACAATTCAGAACTGAATCTATTCTTCCAGCATGGACCTCACTGAAGGTACAGCAAAGCCTTATGAACTTAGGACCACAAACTCAAGCAATAGTATGTGTTAGACCTATATGTTATACAATGAAGGCCCACCTCAAAGGCCAGGAGGAGGCCCCTAAATGTATAACAACTAACTGCTTGAGACAACAAATGAGAAACATGAATGGGGTGTAATGTGTTAGGGCCACATGCCTCCTTATATCCCCAATGCGAGGGCATAAAGGACAGCGGTCATAACTGTCCCTCAGTTTCCTCTCAATCTGAAGCCAATAGTTACTACAGATTGAAAAGAAATGAGAACAGGTGATGGGATCCACATTGACACCACAGCCTAAAAAAAAACCCCCAAAAAACCAACCAGTTGCAATACGGTAAGCAATTGTTCTTTCTTTTTTTGTAATGTGTCAGCAGGGTCCCACAGGCAAGAAGCACATTCCTCAACTTTTGGGCCTTCCAGCTCTATTAAGAGAAACAATGATTAAGTACTGCTCTCTGCAGCTTGGCATCTGCCTCAGTCAGCATGCCAACGACATATTTCATAAAATGTCAGTAGGTTACTCCACGTTGCTGCCTTGCAGATGTGAAATCTCAACGTCCCTGCAAAAGGCAATATATGCATGCTGTACCAGAGCACAGGCTGCATCAGCATTCAAAGGAACACGCTTGTTAACAGATAGCAAGAGGAAATGTGTTACGTGACCCACTTGGAAATTCTCTTCAACAAGATGACTTGGCCCTTGAATTGCATAGAAATGATCACCAGAGAGGCAGGCAGACAGCCAGGACTTGGTCCTATCAAGGTAATACAGTAAAGATCTGGATTCATCCAGGGTATGAGGTTTCTTTCCTGCTTCAGGAAGATAACTGGCAAGGTGCAAGTCTTAGACCACTATACAACTAAATTCAGAGTGTTGTCTCAATGTCACTGTGTCTCTATGAAAGGCTGTAAGCAGCTAAACCAAGTGAGACTGTAGTTTCAAGCCCACGGGATGACCACCGGGAAGATTATCTTAAAGATAAGGTAGTGTAGGCAGCATTCCTATAAACAGTCCAAAGGGAAGATTTATAAGTTTTAGGACAAACACACTGAGGTCCCAAAATGGAACAGTTTCCCAAGGCACAGAGTGGCTACAAAGGACTGTTGGTTATGAGATAAAGTTGAACTGCACTAGATTGTAATGTACAGCCATCCCAGTTTCATAAAAAGCATGTAATCTAAGACATTGGTTGATCTGATATTGAGGTGTTGACTTTGATGTCTAGACCAATCCAGTACAGCTCATTTTGTATGTTAATTAGGACCATAAAAACCATAATCAATGAGAGAGTATATGCTACTAATCTACTAGTTAGCTATTGGCTAACTGCAATGCTGGAGCAGTATTAGTCTGAATAGAACTAACTCAGAACATAACTTCACACCCTCCTCTTCATAGCTACCTTGTTTATATCATTTAATTGAATAAAATTAGCTCATTCACATGTGCTTATCTCAAAAGGATACTAGAAATGCCCATAATTCATTATTGCTCATAGCCATTTCTCAGTCTTGAAAAAGGAAACAAAAATACAAGATACACATCATTCACATGATTAAATACAAGAGGAAAAAGCCCCTATGGAGCAATGTTCACACCAAAACATCACAGTTAAGCTAGGCCTCTTTGGCATCACTAGGGAATTCTGCTTATCTACTTAACATAACACTACAAAAGTTTTATTCCTATAAATTTACAAGTTATATCAGTAGCACAGGTCAAGCGGTGTCTCCAATCTGTTTTGGATTAACCCTGTGGAAAACCTTTTCCACTTTAAGGAATGCTTTATATCTGAATGTCTTGAACCTGAAGGGAGCAGTCTCTGCCAGGCAATATCCCTGCCAGGCAATATCCCTGCCATCAGAAGTAGCAAGTGCCTATACAGCAGCAAGATCTGAACTTGTTTGAGATGTTTGGCATCTAGAGCAAGGCTGCCAGTCTCTGTTAGGCCAAGACAGTTTAAACTATTAGAATGACCATAGCCTTGTCCCTTCTGATTTCCAGCACAATCCAGGAGAATTAGTGGAAAAGTAGAGAAACCAAGACCTCTGGAGATATCCTGCAATAATCCCAGTCAGACTCTTTCTGGAAGAGTAGTTTGTGCATCTAGCACCATTTTATGTGGCAGGGGGCAGCAATCTAGGGCCTATGGGCAGGATCTGGCTTGCAGATGCAGGTGGTAGCACACTGCCACTGTTCCCTTGCCACTTCATGGAGTCTAGCAGTGGTGGCAGCAGGGTCCTAGCACCCACCCATCTCTGACTGGGGGTGGGGGTGGGGGGTGTCATTCTGACCCACAGCCAAAAAAGGTTGCCTACCCCTACTCTATGGTGAATACATCTACCTTGAGAACATCCCACTGACAGAACATGATGTGCAGGACAGACTCCAGCATTCACGGTTGGTCACGGTCGGTCACTTGTACATATTTGGGGGGGGGGGGGGGGGGGGGGGGCGGTTTCAAGAGCAGCTTTAATTAAAGAACCACAGTGTCTCGTGTATCAGTGTCCCCACGCTTCAAAATGGCAGCAGGGGCACTTGAACTAAAGCTCGTTTGATGAGCTTTAGTTCAAGTGCTCCCGCTGTCGTTTTGAAACACAGGGATGCCAACACATGAGACGCAGGAGGCTGCTGGAGCACAATAATTACCACACTCCAACAGACTCAGAAACATAGTGGTGATAATATGTTGATGACACTATCTGGATAGCCTGGTGGTTTCCTAGAAGAGAGAAGGGATGATTGGTACACCTCTTGCTTGTTTCTGTAATTTATTACCGCTATGTTGTCCTTTGAGATTCAGGTAGTGGAGTTTTGCTAAATGGCAGAAGTGTTATGCAGGTCAGTCCCATGGCCCAAATTCAGAGCAGTTTCTGATTGTTAGGGGACCATGCCCCTTTCTTTTACAGCTAGTTCAGCTGGATACCCCTGAAGCTTCTGTAGTAAGCATCACAGTCAGGTAGGGACAGTATGGAACACTTTTCTATATGTGCAATGGTCCTGGGCACCAAATTAGCTCTCCCAGGACTTGGAACAGGATCATAACACCTCTATCCACATTGTGGCAGAACAAGGTAGTATATGTATGTTAACTACAGCTGTAAGGGATCATGCTGAAGTCTGACAAGCAATGTAACATGCAAGCATACTGACACATGGCCTAAGAGCCCTGGCACACACGTGCTGTCTTTGCTCCATTTGACTTCAAGCAGTTTACAATTGACTAGAGAGACTGAAATCCATTTTCTGGCTGACAGACAAAGCCAAATGCCACCACTCCCTGCTGTTTGTAGCAGTGACACAGCTGTTGCAGTCCCCTGTTAGGACCTACCACTGGATCAGGTATGGGTATAACTAGATTTCCTGTCCCTTCAAATGCACTTTCACTACTTTTGTGTATTTCGTGACAACACTTTTTGCTGCGAATGTGATGAAGAACAGAACCCTGTACTGGTAATGTTTGGGTCTAACTAAAAATCTGACTGATTTCCTGTTGGATGGATTCTCTCCTTGAAGATGGGAAGAATTTATACTGCAGTGATGGTGATGAGAAGCAGAACTCTTTCAGTTCAGCACTGATGCGGGTTATACTTTCAGTACTAGTAGGTGCTTTGACACTGGGAGTCCCAGGTTATCCCTGGATCTTCAGTCAAATCTGGCACTGCTGTTAAACACAACAGTGCCAGGATCAGCACAGGCAATCTAGGCTACTGTTCCCAACCCTTAA